TATATATATATATATATAAGTTGAAGTCACCAGAATTCACTATGGGGCCTCACTCCCTAAAGACTGCTTCTGGGTAAGCTAACTAGTTGTATGTTTTCCTAACCTCTATTTCCAGCCCCAACCCAGAACTCCAGACTCCCTGTGTCCAATGGCCTGGTGGATGCCTCTCCCTGAATATCCCACAGGAGAGGGGGGCCAAGGGTTGCTACGTACCTGGAGATGGAGTTCTCTGATGCGATGTCCTTTGGGGTCCGGACTGTTGTGAAGGTGCGTTTGGGCTGCGTCACTGAAGGGAAGGGCAAGGTCTCAGGTGTGAGGGGATGATAGACCCACCTCTGTCCTCAGTATCTACCCAGACTCTTTTTCATTAATATTTATCCACGTCCCCGATATCCTACGTTCCCAATAGTCATCTAGACCTCTTGTCAATAATATTCCCTGTGTCCTCCAAGAACTACCCATGTCCCCGGTGCCTGCTCAGAGCCTTGTCGTTAACATCCCCATCCCTATAGTGCCCATCCTTTTTGGGATCCTGTCTCATCATTTTCCTGGACCCTGTGTCCCCAATTAAATACTGGAGATTCTGTCACCAGCATATACCTGAGGACCCAAGACCTTTCCTCCTATCCCCAAATCCACACTCCTCCCACAGCCAGCCCCCAACTCACTTGTCACTTGATGTACTTTTTTGGCTCCAACATTATCCCCAGGGGGGTCAGTGGATCCACCAATCCTGGGGAGACATGAGGAGTGGGAGGAGTCAGAGCCACAAGAGGCCAGCCAGGAGCGGAGCCCTGGGGGGCCTACGACGAAAGAGCTAGGGTGTGGGGGTGGATATCCACACTGTCCTCCTGGTCCAAGAGGAGGAGACATCCAAGCGGGGCATCAGGATTCTGGGTGGTGCCCTGAGTTGGGACCAGAGTTTGGGCTCACCTCTGAATTCGAGATGCTGGTGCAAAGACTCCATGCCGTGGGGGGCAGGTGAAGTACCGGACACCAAAGACAGAGCCATCGTGTTTGCCAGTGGGCTGGTCTAGCTCTATGCCGTACCAGTAACCTGCAACCGGAGAGTGTCAGGATGCCTCGAGGCCCTGCCTGTCCCCAGCCCAGGTAGCTATCCTCACCTGGGGCAAAGTCTGTCTTCCCATAGAAACGCACGATCCCTTGCTTCTGGCCTGCGACGAGGACTTGGTCTCCAACCTCAGCCTTAGCTCCTTCACGCTGCTGCAGGCTGCCCAGAGACGGGGATGATGGGGGCTTCTTCTTACCTGGCGGGAAGGGGACAAGGGGTGAGGGTGAGGCCTCCAGATGCCAGCCCTGGGGGCCCCGTGTCACCCAGAAAGCCACAAGGTAGAAACTGTCCTGGTTCAAACGAGACGAGCCTTCCTCTGAAATGGGCTTGGGGGGTGGGCGTGAAAGGAAACAATCCCAGCTGCCAGAGAATGGGGGTGGGGGCTTTGGGCCTGAGAGACAACTAAGTCAAGAACCTACAGAACCTCAAAACTCTTTCTCAAAGTTGAGGATATTTGGGCCAAGGGAAAAACTGAGTCTCAGAAGTCAGAAACCCAGAAACTGTCCCTTTAAAATGAAGGGGGGAGTTAGGTCTGAGGATAAATCAAGTCACTAAAGCCAGGAACCCCATAGATTCTTCCCTAAAACTGGGAGAAAACCTTTGGGTCTAAGGGGAAACTAAGTCATAGGGGGCAGGGAACACACAGGTCCTTGCAAGAACTGGGTGGGACCAGTACTGAGTCAAAGGAGAAACTGAGGCACAAAAGTCAGGAACTCAGAGGTCATCCTCTAAAATGGGAGTTTGAGCCTGAGGAGAAACTGAGTCACAGAAGCTGGGCTACCCACAGAATATCCTCAAGAATGGCTCTCGTCACTCCTAGGGCTCCCCCTCTGACCTTTGTGTTCCCTGCGGCCTTTGCCTGTGACACGGGAGAAGTCCATCCGGGGAGTCCGAGGTGTGGAGGTGACAGATGAGGGAGGTGCATCCACTGCCTTGGAGATCTTGGACACAGAGGCAAAGAGACCTGGGGGGACAGAGCCTGGGCTGGGAGTTGTCCAAGCCTCTGCCCTCTGACTCCCCTCATCACCTCCCAACCCCAGCACTCAGCAGCAGCAGCAGAACTACGGAGTGGACCCCACCACCATCCTTCCGGGCCCCAGTGGGACTGACCCTGCTTGGGAGGGCAGATGAAGTACCGGACACCCCCAACACTGCCATCGTTCTTGCCCTCAGGTTCATCCAGTTCCACGCCCACCCACTGTCCGCTGGCGAACTCCGTGGTCCCGCAGAACCGCAGCGTGCCCGTCTGAGGAAACAAGGGAGGATATGGCTTGGGTGCACCTTGAGAGGCCATGATAAGATCACCAGCACACAGGCAGCATGGTGGGATGGATGAGGGAGCCCCAGGCTTAAATCTCAGCTTGGACATCACCATTCACTGGTTGTATAACTTAACTGTGCCTCAACGTCCTCATCTGCGAAATGGGAACAGAAATCTCACCCACCTTACAGGATTGTTGCAGAGCTGCGCTGTCCGATGCAGTAAACGGCCACTAGCCACATATGACAATTGAAATTAACTAAAATTAAATTCAAATATCATTTCTCCAATCACACTAGCCACATTTCAAGTGCTTAATAGCCACATGTGGCTCATGGCTATTTCACTGGACTACACAGACACAGAACATTTCCAGTCTCACAGAAAGGTCTATTGGACATGAATGCTATAGAGACATAAAAGCCCTCAGAACAGGGCCTGGTGCTGAGTAAGGGATCAGTAAGTGTTGCCTATTATTATCCTGTAACTTTGGTAAAGGGACCTCACGGGGCCTCAGTTTCATTTGGAAAATGGGGATAACAGTCCACCTCAGAGGCTGGTTATCTGGTGGAAACATTTTTAATACATGTGAAGTTGCTTAGCTGCAGTGAATGTGGTTATTATCATTTGCGTGAGGCTTCTTCACTGCTCTAAGCCTCAGTTCCTTATCTATAAAATGGGCTAAATAATAGTGCCGACTTTGGAGAGTTGGTGTGGGGATCAGAACAGTGCCTGGCACACAGAGCCAAGCCCTATTCTAAGGGCTTTACACATTTTACCTAATTTAAACCTCGAAAATAATCTTAAAAGAGAGTGGATATATGTATATACAGAACTGATTCACTTTGCTGTTCAGCAGAAACTAACACAACATTGTAAATCAACTATATGCCAATACAAATTAATTTTAAAAAATAAAATAAAATAAACCTCAAACAACCCCCCTCGAGTGGGTACTATCAGCTCCATTTTACAGATGGAGAAACTGATGCCCAGAGAGGTGAAATCACTGGCTCCACAGCTGGTAAGTGGCAAAGCTGAGGTTTGCCTGAGCAAATCCCTGAGCTTGAGTTCATAACCACTGTGCTATGCTGCTTCTCTACAGGCAGAGATTGTTATTACATGTCTTCAGACAAAGAGTTTCACCTCTTGGGCTTCTTACAGTCTTCTATATTGTAAAACGGAGAGAATCAACCCATCCTGCTTTCAAAATTGTCACACTGATTTGATTAAATCATGTACAGAAACTTTCCAGATGGGGCTGATGCATGCAAAACTCTTGATTACGAAACAAAATGTGACTTTTATGGCTTCTCACTGTACAAAGAAACAAAATTCAGATTCACTCCAGTGGCCTGCAGGTCTGGTGAGATCCAGCCCCTGCTAACGTCTCCACTTCACCCTCCCTAGATAACTCCCCTCCAGTCACGCTACCCCTCCCCTCCTCTGGGACTTTGTACCTGCGGTCTCCTCTGTCTCCATATTTTTGCAAGGTGAGCCTCCTTCCCATCTCAGCTCAGATATCACCTCCTCAGAGAAGCCTTCTCAGAAGACCTTAGCTAAAACCACCTCGGCCCTCAGCCAGGGCCAATTTATTAAATCCAAGCATTTAATGGTTTTCAAAGCCTTTGTTGCTACTGGAAATTATCTTAACTATGGGTATACTTTATTGACTGTCTCTTCCTCAATAGAAATGGAGTTCTATGAGAGCACGGCTGGGGCTAACACAGGCCTTTATCCCCAAGGACAGGCTGGGTCCAGCATGGAGCCTGAGGGACACCAGGTAAATGAATCAAACTTGGAATGATTGGATGAATAAAGATCTCTCCGTCCTCTGGGACTTTATACCTGCTCCCCCTCCCTAGGGCCCCCTTCTCCCTTTCTTCTTCTGGCTCGTTCCTCAGCATCTTCAAGTGAGCAAAGTATTGACCACTCTGGGAACACAAGTGGCCCCTGGATGGGAACCACAAGGCCCAGGGGGATCCAAATGGGGCAGAGTTGCGCTGATCACTCTGCGTGTGCTTCCTCGTGAGCCATGACAGCTCTGGGCTGTCACTGTCAGGAGATGGATCTGTCTTCCCCCTTGGACTGAGAGCTCAGCTTGGGTGGGGCACAAAGGAGGCGCTCACAGAACAACTGTTAGACAAAATGAATACTGTGTGCATGACTGGGAGGGTGGGCAGGCAAAGGGGAGAGTCTGCACTCTGCCCGAAGACCCAGCTCTGAGGGATGAGGGCTGAGTCCTGCCCGCCCTTCCCTGCTCCAGTCCCTGACCTTCTGGCCATCCAGTAGCACGCGGTCTCCCAGGCGCAGGCCCAGTGCACTGAGCATGAGATTGCCTGGGACATTGTCATAGTTGGGTAGCGTAACCTTGGGGAGGGCGCAGGAGAGCGGCACAGCCTCCTCCAGTAGCGTCCGCAGCTCCTTGGCCACGAGCGCCGCCTCTGCCTTGTCCAGGGACATGTCCATGGGGTCTGGGACCACCTCCGCTGGCACCTGTCCCTTTCGGTTCTGGGGGCCAACAGGAAGAGAGGGAGCAAAGACTCAGCGGCATAGGCTGCACTCCCACTGAGCCCGTGCCCCCAGAGACCCCGGGTCGAGGTGAGGCAGAGGTGGGAGTAGGTCATACCCTGGGCCAACTTGGAAATAGGAAGGGGTGGGGCATTAAGGTACAGCCCACCATCCCCAGGGAAGTCCACCCCTGAGACCTCAGGCTGGGGATGTCAAGTATGGAGCCAATAGGGAATGAAGGTCCCACTTCAGTGCTGTAGGTCATGCCCTCAGGGCCAAGATCCCAAGCCCGGAATGGGGCCATGTGAAGGACAAACACTGAAAATGGGCTCCTGTGGTACCGGGTTAAGGGTCCAACTGGGCCAATGGGGAATGAGAGCTTCAAGAAACTCAAGTGGTTCTGGCCCGCCCCCTCCCCCGCTCCCATCCTCTGCAGAGGCCTGCTGGCCAGAAAGCGATTGGGGAGGAAGGAGAAGGAAGGTAACAGGACTGGGCCAGGGTGGCAGTACCCGAAGCGCCGGGTTGGCACCGTGTTCCAGCAAACATTTGGCCGCGCCCAGGCACAGGTTGGAGGCAGCGATGTGCAGGGCTGAGCCATGGTTGAAGTCACTGCACGTGGAGTTCACCACTGGGAAGTGGGTGAGAGGAGGGTTCCGGGTGAGCGCCCTCAGCACCCCAGCCCTCCCGCTGCCTTCCAGCCTCCGAAGTCCACCTCTTCATCCATCTCTTAACCCGCAGGCCCCAGGGCCCCCCCCGCCCCCCGCCACGGCAACCTCTGATGCAGAGCCCCGCCCCTCCTCGGCCACACCCCTCCCAACCAGCTCCCGCCAGGCCCTGACATTTTGGACCCCTGAACTCCTTCTCCTGCGCCTCCCGCCTCCCGCCTCCCACCCTGGCCTCCCATGCCAGGCCCCATCACTCGCCTTCCCAGCCTTCTCACTCGTCTCCTCCCCCCACACCTGGGTACCCTCCTTCTGCTTCCAGCCCTCCTTCCTCGCCTAGGTCCTGACCCTCCCCCTCACCTCGGGGCCGTGCACCCTTCAGTAGCACGCGCACGAGATCCGGCACGTCAAAATAGGCCGCGTAGTGAAGCGCGTTCATGTTGGTCCAGCGGCTGCGCAGGGTCACGTCTGCGCCCAGTGCCAGCAGCTGCTGCGAGAGGCGTACAGCCGCCGCGGGGTCCCCTGCGCGACAGCCCAGGTCAGCTTGGGTTCTCTCCTCCAGAGTGTGGGCCCAGGGCATGGGGAAGGCCCAGGGCTTCAGGGACTGCACTTTGGGATCTTAGGCTGTGGGTCCAGGATGGAGGTCTGAGGGCCGGGGTTCTGAGAGTGTTGGGCGTGGCAGTTAGGTTTGGGGGCTTGGACCCTCACCGACTCCGTGGGCCCCCGCCTTGCACGCATAATGGAGCAGTGTCATGTCGGTCAGCCCATCACGATCGTTCACATGGCAGCCTCGACGCAGAATCTGGGAGTACCAGGGGACCAGGGAGGGTTACCCAGACACGTGAGGGACCCCGTCCTTTCCTCCCTCGCTTGCCCAGCGCTCTCACCTCATTGCCAATGACATCAATCTTGTGCTGGACTTGGGGCACCCACTGGCGCACAATGGCGAACAGCTCAGGGATGGTGGTCTGCGGGTCAAACAGAATCTCCTGGCAGGCAGGGTCGTTGGGGTCGAAGAAGGTGAAGGCTGGGGTGGTGAGAGGTCCAAGATCACCCCAGGCAAACTGTGGACTGACCCCCCCTCCTTCCATCCTAAGGCAGAGGAGCTCTAGACCTTTAAAACCTTCTAATACAGTCTCAAACTGGTGGCACATGGGCCACAGGCATTTTCTGTGTGGCCAGCGTGAGGTTTCAAAATCAGGTCTCACATAGAAACGTGGATGCCTGGTGTGTCTTGAAAAATTGGAAGATCATATAGCAGCAAACTCCACCCCATGAAACAAGAGTGTGCTAAGGAGTCTGCATGCCCAAGGGGGCTGCTACTGCTCTAGCGCATGTTGCCCTGTCGGGGCATGGTTTAGCCAAATCTCCAGGGTAAAGAAAATTAAGAAGCCAGAAGTCACGGTTTTTAAGAAAAATCTCCCCAAATTTCAATTACTGTGCAGTCCACATAAAATGGATCCATGGGCAGGATCCAACCTGTGGCCAGCCAGGGGGTGCCCAGAGGAACTTCCATCTCCCCCCCTTTAGAGTGCTGCCCTGTAGTAACGTCAGCACCCGGCACAGGGCTGGCACAAGGCAGGAGCCCAGTGCATGTTGAATGGATGAGCAAATGAATGACCAGATGACACAGAGCCCAGGGACGTACCGCAAGGAAGGTGTCTCCCGGAAGCAGCCCGTGTGCTCTTTTTAAAACCCCAGTCACAGCACAGCTCTCCTTGGCTAAGCCTGCCCTGGCTCCCATCACACTCAGAGTACAGACCCAAATCCTCACCCTGGCCCACAGGCCCTGCACAAACTGGCCTCATCTGTTCTCTGCCCTCTCCCCCTCACTTGTTCCTCTCCAGCCACACTGACCTTCTGTCCTTCCAACTCGCCAGGCAAATTCCTCTCTCAGGGCTTTGTGCTTGCTGTTTTTCTTGCCTGGGCCTGTCTTCCCTGAGATCTTCCTAAGGCTTCAGAGAGGCCTCCCCAGACCACCCTGGCTAAATCAGCACCTCTGCCCTTCTTTATCTCTTGCCCTTTTTCATTTCTTTAAAAATATCACTACTTAGGGACTTCCCTGGTGGTCCAGCGGTTAAGACACTGTGCTTCCTACGCAGGAGGCCCGGGTTCGATCCCTGGTCAGGGAACTAAGATCCCCATATGCCACGCGGCGTGGCCAAAAGAAAAAAAAGAAGAAGAAAATCACTGCTTAACATTACTTGTTTACTCCTTCCTCCCTCCCTCTTTTCCTCTCATTCTCTTCTTCCTCATTCTCTTCCTTTCTTGCTTGTCCCCCTCACTAGGACGTTTCCAGGCTGCCTTGTTCACTCCCTTATCCACGCAGGAGGCGCTCTGTCAGTCTAGCTGAATTAATGTACAAATTTAATAAATACACGAGTTCCTCTTGGAGTCCACCTTAGCCCTCTCTCTGTCCTAGACTACATTTTCAGATTCCTTCACATTCTGTGACCAAACCCTCCTTGTTCTACAGGCAGGATTCCTGGGGACGGGGGGCAGATACCCTAGGCTCTTTGACTTCCCAGCAGGCCACAGGTCCCAGCCACATCCAGCCACATTTCCAGTGGAGATTTTCCAGTTTCCCAGGGTGGATACCCGGCCCTAGACACCCAGATAACGTTCTTATTTTTCTATCAGACTGAGGGCAACTTATGGCCTCTCTGACCCACCTCTAGTGGGTGACATGTCCACAGATGCCACCCCTCCTGCCCTATCCCGATGACGCCTACTCTCTGAACTTGGAACTTCATTTCCGAACTTACAGCTGCTGGGGATTCCCAGCCAACATCTTTTAAAAGCCTCCTCCTATATCTAATTCTGGCTGAGCTCCACCCTCTCTACCCAGTAGCCAGAGGGAGCTTTTAAAAATATAAATCAGACCTGCCCCCCCCCCACAAACTGCTCTCCCCCGCCATCACACTTAGAATATATCCAAAGTTCTCACAGTAGCCTTTAAGGCCCTTCCAGATCTAGCCATTGCCAACCTCTCATCTCAGCTCCGATCACTCCCTAACAGCAACACCAAGATTTTCCTTCTGCTCCAAGCTCAGTCCTGCCTCAGGGTTTTTGCACTTGCTGCTTACAGCCTGGAACCCTCTTTCTCCAGCTCTCCTATGGCTGATTCCTCCTCATGCTCTGGGTCTCAGCCTAAATGCCACCTCGTCAAAGACCCACCCTGACCACTCTGTCTCAAGGTGCTGCCCCCTAGCCATTCTCTGTTATATCTCCATCTTTTATTTCTTTCATAGCAACCACTCCAATCTGAACTTATCCGATTTATATACCTGTTACTTGCTTAGTCTTGCCTTCTCTCCTGAGAGCAGGGATCATGCCTGGATTGCTCACCATTAAATCTCCATCTCCTAGCACAAGGCTTGTCACAGAGTAGTAGTGACGGATAAACAGTGCTTGGTGAATGAGTAGACACTTTCCTTTTCTCCAAGAGGCCACCCTCTCAGCTCCACATCTTCCTACCTCAGAGCCTTTACTCCTGCAGTTACCTTGCCTGGGACCCCCTTCCCCTAATCTTTTCCCTTGTTAACCCTCAATTCATCCTTGAGTCTCCCTCAAATGTTCCTTCCTCAGGGAACGCGTATCTTAAAAAGCTCTTGCAGAATTCGGTTCTTAGCAAACACAATCCTCATCAAGTCTTGTAATTATGTACTTATATTTTTATACTTATTTGTGTGGTTGTCATTGAGGCCTGCGAGTTCTCTTAGGCAAAGACTAGATCTGTCTTGCTCCACGCTGTGCCTCCAGTTCCTAGGTCCATAGCAGGCTTTCCAAAAATGCTTGTTTAATGACTAAATGACTGAATGATGTGTCATGAATCAAATATTATGATTATCCCGATTCCATTCTCCAATGGGTGAATGAATTAATGAAGGGGGGGGGAATCCAAGGGCCACGACTCCTCCAGAACACCTTCAAATCCTCCAGATTCCTCCCACCATCTCCACCAGCAGAGTTCAGACAAACCTCCCTGGCCACCCAAGGCTCCAGGCCATATTGCTGAGTGGGGAGGGTGGTTACCGTAGTCCTTGGGGAGGGGGGCAGGTGCCGAGGGGTGCACAACAGGCTTCTGCCGGCGCTCCTGGGTGGGGCTGGGGGGCTCTGGGACAGGCTCCTCCTCCTCCTCCTCCTCTTCTCCCTCCGCCCTGAGCGGTGGGGCCATCGGGGCGGGATCTGTCTTAGTCATGATCCTTGGTGGCCCTCAGTGGGCAGGTGCAGAGTTGGGGGTGGCCTTCAGGCAAATCCTGGGGGCAGAGGTCAGCTAGAGCGGGTGCCCCAGTCTCCGGAATCTGAGCCCCCTAGACGCTCACCGGGCTCCGGGTGGCTCCCACGCCCCCAGCTCTGGATTTTGGGCAATCATAGGGACGCCAGTCACCCATCAGAGGACGCTGGTTTGTGGGCCCAACGCCTACCACTTCCCCCTGGCCAGTGCCCCATTCTTGTCCTCCCGCGTCAGGGCCCTCAGTCTAGGCCGCCCCCTCCCCCGGTTTGTTTATCTCAGGATGCAGGATGCTTTGCCCCTCCCCTTCTCCGCGGGCCTCCCCTCTACCCATCTTACCTCGGGTGTCTGGGGCTGGAGACCAAAGCTGAAACCGGGGAAACTGGAGTAATGGGGTGCCAGTGCCTGGGCAAGTGATGGGGGAGTAGAAGACAGAGAGAAGGGGACGAGACCCTGACGCCGACGGGGGATGGGGGTGGAGAGGGAGGGGCGCTGACGACGCATGCGCTGTCACCCCCAACCAGGCGCGGGGGGCGGAGACACTGCGAGGCTGCTTGCATTGATGAAAAGGCTGGAGGCAGCGGTGGGAAGGGTATAGACTCCGAGGACGGGGAGAAGAAATGGCCACGAAAAAGGATGTGAGGCATGGAGACAGAAGGAGAGAGATGAAGCAGGGACAAGGGCGAAAAGAGAGGGATGGGAAAACGGGCACAGCTCTTATTGTCCATTCCGCTGTGATAGCGCCTTTGCGAAGGCCTGCAAACCAGACCAGTTTGGGCAGGGGTCTCAATGTGTGGTAGTGGTGGGTGTTTTCTGACATATCAGACCTGACCTCTACTCCATGTCCACCCTGGACAAGGGATGTCTCAGAGGGATGACTTTGTGGAGACTCCTATAACCACTGTCATTGTCATTATCACATAGTGCGCACACAGCACTTACCCAGAGAAGTTAAGCCATTTACCCAAGGGCATACAGCAGATAGGTAATGGAGCTAAGACTTGAATCCCAGCGGCCTGGCTATAGAGCCTGGGCTTTTAATCACCGTGCTACATGGCTTTGGCAGTGTCTAGGGGATAGATCTGCCAATGGACTCCTCCCCCCAGAAAGGCCTCCAGGAGCCAGCCCAGGGATGAGGCCTTCCTGGCCCCATCATCCTGGCTGGGCTGTCACACCTGACTGGCTGTGGCCTGCACTGTCCACAATCACCCCAGCCTGAACAGGGCTGGCTGACTTTGCCTTCCACCTCTCATCCTTCTAATGTGCAGGCCCAGTAGCTCCATTCAAGCTATTTCCAGAATTTCATCCCTCACCCCAGGCCCAGGCCCTAATCCTGGTCCATCCTTCATCCTCTCCCACCTGGACTATGGCAGCTCCCCCCAACACTCCAATATGCAGCCAGAGGGACCTATTAACACCTATCACATCAGGACCTTCCTAAAGGCATCTGCTTGCTGCACCTCACTGCAGGTAACAGCCAACGTCTCAACCACAACCCACGAGTCCCTGTGTGAACTTCCCTGTCATCTCTCCAATCTCACCTCCTCTCACTCTCCCCCTCAGTCACTCCACTCTAACCACCCTGGCCTCCTTGTTCCTCCTCACCCCAGGACCTCTGAACTGGCTTTCCTTCTGCCTGGAATGCTCTTTCCCCAGATACCTGGTTCCCTTACTCCTCTCTTTTAGGCTTTCGTTTATTGGTACCTTTCCAATGAGACCTTTTCTGCTCTATCTAACATTGCATCCCAACCCCACCCTCCTCACACACACTCACTCACTCCCTTCCCTGCTTCAGTGTTCGCCATAGCAACACTGTCTTCCTCCGGCTTATACCTTAGATGGTAGGGTATGTGCAGAGGCCATTCTTCTCCCTGGAACATCCAGTCCACGTGCCTCCCAGGCCAGCTCCTTCTCATCATCAGGTGTCTGCTCAAACATTGTCTCCTTAGAGAGTCCTCCCTCCCACCCAGCCCATTACATTTTCATTCAGTCTTTATGGCACTTATCACAACCTGAAATTATACTGTTTATTAATTTACTAGTTCATCTTCTGCTCAAGCAGAAAGTGAGCACCACGAGGACAGGACTTTTGTCAGCTGTGTTCACTGCAGTATCCCCAGCTTGGCACCAGGCTTGGCAAAGGGTACAAGGGGCTCTTCAGAACCAGGTACAACTCTCTCCAAACAAACAACCCTTGCTCTGCTCTGAGAATGTTTTACTGACCGCAAAGATTGAAGGTGGGGTTGGGACCTGGTTCCCAGGGTAATCACTGCTGACAGGGGTCTTGGGCCAAGGTCAGCCCTAAGGTTCAAGGGGTCCCTAGGAGGAGGTGGTGGGAGCCAGGCCCCTGAGGGAGGCACTGCTATGCCCCAGGCATGGGTCATGGGGCTGGGCCAAGCCCACGTTTGATGCGTCTCTCTTCCTCTGTCTTCTGTCATCTGTCCTGGTCCTTATGCACTGGGAGTCTGAGTGTCCAGGAGCTCAGGCTTGGCGTCCAGGGTGGGAGGTGCAGGACCTTGGGCAAGGACCACAGCTATGTCAGGCCCTCCACAGATGATGGTGAAGGCTTGGGACTCCTCAGGTCCAGGGAGCTGGGCCGTCCCAGGCAAAGAAGTATTAGAGATGGAGGACACAGGGGAATGAGGGGAGTGAGGGGAGGGTAGGAGGGAAGGAGGGAAGGAAAAAGTGGGGGCAGGGGGAGAAATGGTGAGGAACAGGGAGGTAGAGGTGGGAGGCGGGTGTCAGGAGACAGAGAGAGATATGGGCAGAGAGAGATGTGAGGAGAGAGATGTAAGAACCAGAGAGACATTCATGAGGGTATAAAGAGGTATGGGGAAACAGGGAGAGAGATGTGGGGGAAGAGAGACATGGAGAGACAGATATGGAGGGTGGGAGAAATGTAGGGGCAGGGAGACAGGGATATGGATATGGGGGATAAAGATGCAGATGAAGAGAGACATGGGAAGTCAGGAGACAGATGTGATGACAGAGACATGGGGGCAGAAAGACAAAGATGAATGTGGGAGAGAAAAGAGACATGGGAAGTGGGGAGATAGATGGGATGACAGAGACACAGGGGGCAGAAAGACAAAGATGAATGTGGGAGAGAAAAGAGACATGGGAAGTGGGGAGATAGATGGGATGACAGAGACACAGGGGGCAGAAAGACAAAGATGAATGTGGGAGAGAAAAGAGACATGGGAAGTGGGGAGATAGATGGGATGACAGAGACACAGGGGGCAGAAAGACAAAGATGAATGTGGGAGAGGGAGAAGAGATTGAGACAGGGATGGAATGGGGACAGGGGAGGCAGAGAGAGACACTGTCAGCCCAGGGGCCCTGGCAGGCTCCATGAAGAGCCACAGGCCTGAGTCTGAGTTATGTCCTTGCCCCCGCCCACCCCCCATATGTCCCTCTTGTGCTCCAGCATGGTTCAGGCCACAGTCTCAAACATGAAGCCTCCAGGGACAGCCACTGCAGCTCTGGCTGACTGCTACTATCTGGGGATGTGAACCCAGTGCTGCTAGATCTTCTGAGTCTTCAGGAGAGACCAGAAAATATTTTACAGCATTACTGAGGCCAAAAGAATAATATCTGTGGGCCAGGCCCAACCCACTGGCTGTCAGGTTGAGACACCTTAGCTACAGAGGTACCTCAGGGGCTTTCTGAAACCCCCTCCCACCTCCCTTGTCCAGGCAGGAACAAGGGCCCTGGGACCTCAAGCTTGACCCTGGGGTTTTAAGCAGGAAAAAGGCCTGGTCAAATTTTGATTTTTAAAGACATGATTCCCTTGGTGGTACAGTGGTTAGGACTCTGTGCTTCCACTGCAGGGGGCACAGATTCGATCCCTGGTTGGGGAACTAAGACCTCACAAGCCGCGTGGCATAGCCAAATAAAAAAAGACATGATCCCCTCCACTCCCCACACCAGAAAATACTCAGCAGTAAAACATAGGGGCAAAAGGGCCTTAGATAGGGCCTGGGAGACTCTAGTATAGAGTTGCAAACTCAAGCTCTATAGGGGCCAGGCAGGGAGCTCTCCCACAGAGCACAGGCCTCCTCTGGGGCCAGGCACCTGGGTTTGAATCCTGGCTCTGCAACTTACTGACTGCCTGGCTTTGGGCAAGTTACTGGACCACTCTGTGCTTCAGTTTTTGTTGTTTTTTTTTTTTTTTGCGGTACGCGGGCCTCTCACTACTGTGGCCTCTCTCATTGCGGAGCACAGGCTCCGGACGCGCAGGTTCAGCGGCCATGGCTCACGGGCCCAGCCGCTCCGCGGCACGTGGGATCTTCCTGGACCAGGGCACGAACCTGTGTCCCCTGCATCGGCAGGCGGACTCTCAACCACTGTGCCACCAGGGAAGCCCTCTGTGCGTCAGTTTTTTCATATGGAAAATGGGGACAAGAGCAGTTTCAATTATCAAGGTCATAGTGAGTTTTCAATAAGTTATTAACTCTGTGTCTAGAAGAGAGTAAGGGCTGCTTAAATATTATAATATTATTAATAAATGGAGCAGCCACTACTCAGCTCCCACCGATAGTTGCTTGGCATTGCCAGACTGATTTTTTTCAAGCCAGAAATTTGTTAACACGGGTGAAATGTTCTGACTTTCAACTCTGGGCTCTAGTTTAGCCGAAAGCACACCCACTGTGTGGGCCAGGCTGGGCACTCACCGCGCGCAGCCGGCCCCGGTGCACCGGCGCCAGCAGGCTCTCCGCGCGCAGCTGCTTCGCCAGCTGTTCCAGAGCCCGCAGCCGCGCCTGGTGCCGCTCGTGGCGCCGCTGGAGCCTCCGCACCCGCCGCTGCAGCGCTCCCAGCGCCGCACCCAGCCCGGCCCGGGGGTGCTGGGCCGACACTCCAGGGCGCGGCCCCGTGGGAACCCGCGGAAGCGGCAGGGGAGTCAGGAACACGGTGGCTGGGACCTCGGGGCCCCCGGATGCTGGCCCCAGCACCACAAGCTGTACGGGGCCAGGAGCCGGGAGGGCTGGACCAGGGGACAGGGACGTGGCTTCCTGTGGAGTTGGAGGCACGACTGGTTTCTCGATGCTTCGGGAATTCGTCTGCCTCTGGAAGACAAGGCAAGAGATGGGGGATGGAGGACATCAGGGCCGGACTCCAAGGGAAAATTCCTCAGGAGTGGAGGGCTGAGAGTCAGCCTGCAGGAGGGACCTCCCTCAGAGGGGAGGGCGGGGGATCAGACTCCAGCAGTGGGACTCTCCTGAGCTCACCTTGGGGGGCGGCGCTCCGGAGAAGATGGAGGGCACAGCATCCGGCCGCAGGTAGCGCACGCCCCAGCGCCACTGGAAGCAAGAGGGGGCGAAGTGCTCGCTGCACAGGTGCTGGTGGCAGCTAGGCACCCAGTGCTCACGCCCCATGTGCCTCAGCCAGGCCTGCAGCCGGGGGCCATCCTTCAGGGGGAACCTGCCGGGGGGCGGGGTCAGTGAGATCAGGGCCAACCCCCCCCTCCC